TGGCCCCGAGCCAGAACAGCTGATTGAGGACGGCGTCTTCTAATGCCGTCACCTCCGCGAGCTTGCAAGCTTGGAACCAGGAAACAAAAACTTTGAAAAAGGCGGAAAGAACAAAAACGAGGAGAAGGGGCGCCGCTTACTTTTGTTTGGGTCCGCTGTTCTGTCACGATGCACACACACGAGGAACGAGGAGATGCTGGAGAATACTTTTACCAAGACTTTATTTTCAGGAACCAAGGGAGACGAACTCAGGAAGACGTTTAACAGCGGACAGAGAACTTGGGACTGGGAACACTATTTATACACACAGGAGGAGGGGATGACGAGACACACCTGGGAGCAATGAAACACTAATCAGGGGAGGAACAGGAAACTAACCAAATAAGGGCATGGGAAGGCACATGGGGAGCAGGACAAACACAAAACATGGAACAGAGTCTGACAAATAGTAGTAGTAAAACAATTTATTACCAGTTAATATCTAATTTCTAATAAATCGGTTGAATGAATGATTCAGTGATTCACTCATAAAGACAATCACTTGTCGCCAGCACTGAACAGCCAGTCTGGAACGCTGTTATATAGAAAACATATTAATATTTGTGTCCTTGTGCCACTGTCAGCCAAACCATGACATCATGGAGGCCTATAATATCTGGAGAAAGCTATTTGTTATTTCAGTGGCAGCTGGCGCAGGACCAAAGTGCACAGTTTGAAACCTGCCATATTTGCCAATATCATGTGACTAATCAATCTGGTTTAGTTTGAGCCAGTCTGAGGATTATGTCTGAAATAAATGAGTTTTACAGCAAGAAGGCCAGGCTCTGAGACACCAGTTATCAAGTTATTATAAAACACAGACTTGACATTCATTAATTCAATCAATCAATAATGGGACAGAATGGGGGTTTCTCATCAAAGAAACAATGCTTTTGGAGTTATGGCTCATTAGGCGTTTATTGATCAGTCAGGGCTGGCTTTATTACACCAAAGAAATGGTTTTTGTATGTGTCTGATGATGTCATGCCTAAAGCATCTGTGCCAATAGTTTAGCGTCGAATCTTTCTCACAGTATAGTGTATAAGCTCATAAATGTGCCACTGCAATATTTCCAATTAACTAAAATCAAGGCAACAGGATTCTAATCTGACCTGAAAGGCCATTCGTGAGCATTACTCATCTGACATGATGTCGTTATCACAGGCAGCAGCTGATCGCAGCACTTCTCTGGTCTTACATTCACTTCACGTGTTTCCTTCGTCATAATAAACGGGGTTGCTTTTAGAGTATTAATCTGTTTCAGCAAGCAGCTGGAGAGGAAAGAACCACACTGGCTCAACCAACAGCGTTAAAAAAAATGGAACTTGTTTGACTTTAGTCAGTATTTCTGCAGTTCTGTTTGGTGCCACTAGTTGCCGCAGAAAACTACGAATAATGAAACTGATGAACACAAATGTTAAAGGAATAGATCACCCAAAAATGAAAATGTTGCTCATCCTCAGGCCATCCAAGATTGGGATCCAAGACTAAGATTAGGATCAAATGCTTTTTATTGGGGGTCGGGGGCCTCCGAATGTCTACAACCGGCCCTGCATCCGGGGCTGCTGGAAAAAGATAAAGAAATTTCTGAGCAGTGCATTTATTCTTCAACTTATTCTAAAGGTGTGTGTGACTAGAACTTACTATTCATTTCCCTCAAAGTCTCAGGTGTGCTTTGTTTGAGTAAATAAGCATCGCATCTCTGCTCTAACTCTATTACCATATGAAATATAAAGCAGGGATGCACAACCTCTGAACGCTCATATACAGGCGTATATATAAAGGTCATCCATGACTCCTGTTGTCATTTTTATCTGTGGTGCAGAGCTACCAAACATTTAATTTCATTTTCAGCTTCAGCATCTTTTGATGGACAGATGATGGTGTCTTGGAGAAGATGAGTGTTATTTTTAAACAGGTAAGCTGCCTTAACAAAAATACTAACCCCTTTGTATGCTATAATATGAATAAAGATGCTATCTATCTATCTATCATCTATCTATCTATCTATCTATCGATCGATCTATCTATCTATCTATCTATCTATCTATCTATCTATCTATCTATCTATCTATCTATCTATCTATCTATCTATCTATCTATCTATCTATCTATCTATCTATCTATCTATCTATCTATCTATCTATCTATCTGTCTTCTATCTATCTATCTATCTATCTATCTATCTATCGTAACGGGGTGAAGAATCACACGACAAGTAATCTCAATCAATACCCCGGAGGGTGGATTTATTCGGGTGATGGGTAATAGTGAGAAAGGTCCAGGTAGGTGCTCCGGTGCCGTGAGTGCTCTCTTCCGTCTTCCCAGTGCAGAGGG